ACCAGCCTAAGAGCGTTAGCGCGTGCTCTGTCTGGTCCGCTGCAGTCCCCTACGCTTTGCGCCAAGCACTATGCGAAGCCGCTCACTCTGCTGGGCTGGAAACAATCCGACGAAAGAGGACTACGGCGCAAGCCGTCCGCCGTGATGCCAGGTAGATTCCCCAAATAAGCCGCGCACGTAGATGACAGCGCGCGCAGCCCGTGGCCCCGATCGCGGTGGGCTTCGTGCTGAGGTGCAAAGCATTCTCGATACATTTCCAGCGAAGTCCATTCCTAAAGAGCACCGCGGTGGCGAAATTCAGCGCGATCCACTGGGCGCGGATGTGTTTTACAACAGGAAAAAGAGAGGCGCCCGCTATTCTCTGAGCACTTACATCAGAGAGAAGCGCTGCAAGAGATTCTTTCCGCATAGAGAGGCCTAAAGATAAGAAGTAGCCCCGCCGCCCTTCCCTAGCTCTGCACCGTATGACGAGCCAAGCCCAGAGGGTGAACCTCCTCAGCAAGAAGCAATAAGCCCGACGCAGTGGGCAGCCACAGTCTGTAGACCTGAAGGGGCGCAGCCTGTAGTCTGCTGATCGAGAGCCGCCGCCAAGAAACCAACAGAGTCCGCCGCTGCCTGCGTAAAGAAAGCGGCGCGCCATCTGATCCATACGCCAGAAGTGGCCCCGTGTTATTCACCTGAGAACGAAAGGAAGCCCTGGGGGGTCTATGGCACGCAACACGCTAGAAAAAGGCCGAAAGCTGAAGGGTTGGAATCGGTTCACCGGCGCGAGTTCTGCCATGTGCTTGATTACTCCTCGCGAAGTCAGTCCGTCCCGACTCGACCTCTCAGGCAGAATCCGCTGCCGGTTCAGACGGCTGAATCGTGTCAGAGTCTGCTCCCTTGAGAGGTTCCTTCGGCAACAACGCCCCCGCCGAGGGCTTGGGGGCTGATAGTCTGACCGCTAAGACACCCCTCCGATGCGCTGCGCCCTCGCAGCGGGAGCGCTGCTCTTAGATATCACAGAGCGCGATCAGGCAGATAGTTTGAGCTTCGTTCTGCCCCACCGAACACACGAAAGCGGACAGCTTAGCAAAGAACAACGCCCCGCGCGACGTTTGGGGCCATGTCTTCTGGCGTGGTCGGTCCAGAAATGACGAACAGAAGAAAACAAAGCGCCCACGCCTGGCAACTTACTCGGGCTCTCTCTCTTGATGGTGCGGCCTATTTCGTCACAAGGTCGCCGCCCCTCTGTCTTTGCGAAGAGGTCGACTGTGCTTTGTGCGCTTAAGCCTTCCGCCTTTTCCCTTGATAACTCCCGAGCACTTTCGAGCCCTGTCACTTGCGGCGGCTTATGTGTTCGACTGGTCTTGGTCCGCCGTGGTCCTGCAGCTTCTCGTGGGTGTTTTTGGACTTCATGAAAGCAGCCCCCCCCCTCGCTCTTGGGGGGGGAATGTCAGAGACAGCTCGAGGCGACCAAGCTGCAAGGCCTTGAAGGTGTTCCACTTCCCGGCTTGGCGGCTCGATGTGAATCAGCCAGCGCACTTGATCAATTGAACAACGAGCCAAAGAGCCCGAGTGCTTACCATCTTGACGGCCCTGGACCCTTTGGGTGGGAGGAGTTACGCCAACGCAGGTCGTGAGAATGCACCGGCGCGACTGCGCTCGACTGAGTTGGAATTTGGTGGCGTTCTACCTTCCGGCCCTCTTCCTCGTCGCAGTGGTTTGCTTGTCCTTGCCTGTCTTTCTCCGGCTTTGGCGGTGGCAGCGTTTACCTTCGGCGCGTTACACTTTGGGCAAGGACTTCTACTACTATTTGGCTCGTGGCAGACCTTCCCACGGTGTCGCAGCCTCCTGATCTGCGGTTTCCAACAAAAGTAAGGATAGGGATCAGAAAAGAGCAAGACAAAGTATAATTTTTGCGCTCGGTGATTAGCCTAAAGACCCTAAGCAAGCTGGGACAACGTCCCCAAGGCTTTGAGTTAAAATACTATGGCGAGCCGGCCTTTCACGCTACAGAGTAGTTGCTATGTAAACCAGTCGAGCGTAGCTCCGACTGACATAAAAGACAGCGAGGCACGCAGTGGACTACCCATGCAACTTTGGCAGGATCTGTGACAATTTGACAGGGGAGAGCACAAGAGGCCACCTTGTTCACGAACTCTCAGAAAAAGTTAGAGATTTGAGCTAGAGCGCTACCAAGCTCTAGGGGCTTTCGCTCCTTGCCCATGGCTGGATCTTTGCTCGAGGCATAAGCTTTAAAACTGTCCGCGAGTGTGTCGTGTACCGCCTTTGCAAGAGGACCTTCTGAAGTCAGTTGCTCGAACTTGGTATTTAAGCTCCCAAGCAGCTGCGCCTCTGTGCAAGCGTAGCCTGTTTTGAGTGGAATGCACATTGCAACCATATGCAGATGAAGGAATATGAACGAACGAAAACAGGTCTGCTCAACTGTGAAAAAAAAAAAAAGATTTTCCAAGTACAAATGGTAACTGAATTCAGTCGTTAAAGAAACCATGGACATTATCAGTCGATGTTTAAAATGATTGAAGCAAAGCTTGGCCATCTGCTAGCTTCTAGTACTTACCATCTGCCATGCTATTCGGCTTCATTAATTCGAAGAGAATCTCTACTGCGTGTGCGAAAAGACGGTTTTTGACTGCCGCATCGAGGCGACCACGATCGCCGGCGGCCTTGCGCCAAGTTCGTTCGAATTCGGTAAACATCACGCTTTCTGTATCATCCATCTGTTGTCCTTGACCAAGCCCATAATTCGCGGCCAACTTTGCGAGCGCCGCCTGCATCCTGTCTAAATCCTGATGGCTAGACCAGCGACCAAGTAATACCAAGAAGGAAAGGATGAAAACGAGATGAACAACTAGTACAATGAGTATGAAGCACACTGGGAATGATGTCCTGCCAGAAGATATCTCTGTGCTGTCTACTTGCTTTACAACTACGGAATCCGTTCCTTCGTACCTTCAAAAACTACCCTATTGGTTTTGGTTAGAGGATCAAAGTGAGACACTGTGCTATTTCTGCTGTCCAGCAGTTGCCTGTTGGAAAACAATGTACAGACAGCATCACTAACGGGATAAAGTTTTCATTTTTTGCATCAAATCACCAGAGATAAGTGAGGAGCCCCAATGGAGATGACCTATGAAAATGACGGGTGTGTATAGAGGCGTTTAATTATGTCCTTATATGGGGTCAAGTTCGGTTCTGTCTAGGGCGGGGCGGGGTGAAGCGGAGGAGAATCTCTTTGCTGGACAACAGTTGCAACACTCAGACAGATACTCACTCAAGAACGAAGAAAGATTCTGCTCCATCTGGTTTCTCGACTTCCTTGAGGTGATTTCGAACACTTTGCGCCGGTTGCTTGTCTCTACAATCTGAGCGACGCGTTAAGTACTTCCAGTTACTTCACTCGTTCTGGATTATACTTCAATTTTCCGACGAGACTACAACAGATCGATCACCGACTGACACTCTGATTGATTATCAACCTCGCGTCATGTGCAACTACTGACTTCGAGTACTGATACCCAGATGACTCATAAACCGATCATACACAGATGAAGCCAATCAATCAGATGAAACCAATGCATCAGACCATCAAGAGAAGAAGTTGATGAAACCGATGCTGTCGGTGTCGTCCCACGATTCACGATTTATTCAAAAGAGTCTCTGTTACAAGGACAATGAGAGGGGAAAACTTGCGGTCATTATGTTCACTAGAAATGGGAAATAAAGCTTAGTAGTAGGGGTTTACCCATTCGCGGGGTCGGTTCTCTATGATCATCAAAAATCGAACTCCATTTTTCTTAGGGAAATAAAGCTTAGTAGTAGGGGTTTACCCATTCGCGGGGCCGGTTCTCTATCATCAAAAATCGAACTCCATTTTTCTTTATAACAACTTGCTAAAGTCCTTTCATATTCAGAATCTGCAGGCCATCAAGAGGAGAATAGACACACATCGACAGCCTTGTTGCTGACATTTCTCAATTGACGCTTTTAAAAAATTATATAGAAGGTCAGTTTAATACAACAAGTAGACATAATCTGGAGGTATATAGGCGCCTTTTCCGAAGTTCTGGCCGTGTTTCTTGAAACTCATCAAGACGAATTCCTACGGCCTTATGAAGAATTGCTAAAGATACGACGTTTCTATCCTATACTGCATATCGCGACAGCCGCCTGCCACCAAGCGCCACCCACCACCAATCCGCTGACGAGGAAGTTTTCAGTCCTTACTAATTGTTATCCACCACCAATCCGCTGACAAGGAAGTTCAGTCCTTACTATCTGCTCCATTAGGTCTAGCCACGTTCGGAGCGCTTGGAAGACCGTGGTTGGAGACTCGATAGCAGTTTCCTCGACGTCGAGGTTCCTACCCAAGGGAGGGGCGGGTTTCTTCACGTAGATCATGGCCTCTCTCCTTCTTGCATGATTAGAAACACGGATGGAGAAGAAGAAACTAGTAACTGCAAGGAAGCTCAAAAGGAACAAAATGATTAGTGAGTTTGGCAGTGGTAATCATCTTCTTTGTGCATCGAAGTTCAAGAATTGTAACGTTTTCTCTTTCATCTTAGACTTAGATCTCAATATGAAGTAAGCTCCTAACGAAAGTATGTAGAAGTTCAAATACTGTGACGCATATTTCTCTTTCATCTTAGAGTTAGAGGCGAATGTCTGATCGAGCACAAATCATGAAGGACCTTCTGCACTACCAAGCCAACAGAAGCGCGATCTCAATATGAAGTAAGCAGCTGCTCCCAACGAAAGTATAGAGCAGAAGAGGCGTCCTACGTACCAGCAGTGTATAAAGAGAAGATCTCGTAGTCGTTTTTGAGACGGTGATAGGCAATCATCTAGTACTACCTTTACCTTAAGACTCTCATCTTCCGTGCTTCTGCACGCAACTTCGTCCCGAATCGTCCTGGCCGCTGTTGCAGAGATGCGAATATAAGATTCGTAATTCTTAGCGGAGGTTAGTACTAGTCATGTTGCTGCATGTGTACAGCATATACGCACCGCTGTACAGCTACAGCATACACGTTACACTCGAAGAGACGCCGCTTGCAAATCTTAGCATCCCTTCTACTAAAGAAAGACAATGAATGGACAGGCTTTAGAAAAGCGAATTTCGTAACTCCTTGTCGTCGTATCCGGAAATTCTTAGACGAGATGATCGAGGTCACTCATTCTTTGCTGCCCAGTGAGAGTTGATTACAGGGATGAACGATGTCATTGTAGATTCATTCCACATTGCCTGTTTCTATTAAGTACTTACCTTGAGCTGATGATAACATCCATCTGAGGGCAGCAGGGACATCTCTTCAGAAAAGTGATCATGAAGCATTCAACATCGTGGTGCGTCTTTTCGACGTTCCTTATAGGTTAGGTTCCATAGTACTCATAGAAAACAAGATACTTACAATTACAACAGAACAAAACTGCGTGGTAGGTACTATCACTAGCCCTAATATACGGCAGTAACCAGTCAGGGAGCGTCTCGTTTTCCCAAACGAGTAGTTTACGGACAGCTCTGGCCACCTCTGGATTAGTGCGAAAGGAGACTCCATCAAGGCCACTATCGGTCCTCTCAATGTTCTTTTTCGGACTCTCCGAGGTTTGTATCGGCCCAAAGAGATTCTCAAAGACGCATGATCGACGAGTACTGGTCGTGTCGTGGTGATCATTAGAGATATTAAACGATGAAGGCAATTGCTGCAGACGCAGCCGCTACTAACCATTAAGATATTAATCAAAATATTGCCACAAGAACTACTGGCAAGCATTTTAGGAGGAGATGGAAAGAGTTCTT